GAAGAAAAAGCTTTAAAAGTAGGTTATATAATATGTAACTACATATGCAAATTCCAGTTTAGTTATCTAGGTGGGAAGTTTGGCTTTTAACCAAAGAAATGATAAGTCCTTCTCTGTACAATGAAATCTTTAAGAGAAGCATTTCCAGGCACAATCTCTTAGATGAGGGTAGGAATTAGGCATCAAAAACTTCCAAATGAGACATGTTTCTTTAATTCTGTAAATTTATACATGAATAACTGGCTTCAGTAGGTAGAAATATTAAAAGAGCTCAAGGAGAAAAAAAAATTTGGTAATTGATAATTTTTTGTATTTCTTTAGACATAATTAATGCTGATTTTTTTTAGATGAAGTAACTTTTATTGAAATGGCAGTCTCACAACTAACAGCTTACTCTTGTAATAGAGCTATGCACTCAATTTTTTATTACCACTGGAGTAGTAACTGATTCTTTTATCTGCATGATTTTATTTTTTCACCTGAAAAGCACAGTTTACACAGAATACAGTGCATGTGGCTGGAAAAGCAGAGATTAATGGAGTATTTCAGTGAATAACTAAAGGTCACAGGAAGTTGACTGAGGGTAGAGGAGGTACACTGTTCATACAGTTGTTAAAACAATCTTTTATTATTATTTCACCAAACTTAACACGCAAACATTCAAGGTTTACCTAATGCCTGCTTTTAGCTTTTGTATTCTGTGTATCATAGTATCATTCCCTTCTGGTGCTGTGAAAACAACACAGGGAACAGCACACCAAAGACCAATTTTTAATGGTCCAGCTTGAGGAAATACTAGATTTGCTTGTGTGCACTGCCTTTTAGAGACTTGGACCATTATGACAAGTATGCCTAGAAAGGAATTTTAGTCTCTGCTGCACTTTAAATACATGTACATGGTGTGAAAATTGGAGACTGATGTATTTGGGTTTTTTTCCTATCAGACTCAAACAATGACAAGCAACTGAAATCTGTCAGTAAAAAGGGAAAGAAAAAGAAAGATATGAATTTTGCGGGATCACTAGAAGGTAAGAAAACACTGCAATAGAAATAAAATAGTTCAAAAGCCTTTGGAGTAGAAGGATTTACTACAGCAAATAGAGGGATTTACTACAGCAGATTATCACATTTTGTATCTAGGTTCAGATTTGAATAAACCATAAAAGGAGGTTATCTCCAGCCAGCATAATTCACAGTAACAATCTACTGTTGAAGAGATGAGAATTGAAGGAGGAATTTTGAAGGAGGATGAAGTTGTACTGGTGCTTTGTGCATATGTTACACCTGATGCACCCATTTGTGCTATTTAATTCTTGGTTGGAAACACTTTTTTTAGAGGGTGGGAGGAACAAAGATTTCCAACATAGCTAATGCAGACAATCTCATTAATAAAAAGTTCTAAACATTTACAACGCGGTAAAACTTGTTTTGGTGTCTTTGGGAACTTGAAGTTGTGTCTCATAAGAGCAATACTCTTTTGTTTGAAGGATCCAGGCGAGGAAAGAAGAGAAAACTCCAAGATGCTGGTATACTGGCATCTGCAGAAGAGGTGAGTTTGATCAGTACTTAACAAAAAGTGATCAGGCATTTCACCTGCTGCTTTGTAACAGAATACTAAACTTTCTTTCTTTAAAGTTTGGCTATCTGCTGGATGAAAATGCTGGCTCTAAGTTCGACAATATCGGAATGAACGCCATGGCCAACAGAGATAACGCGAGTAAGTACATGCTGCAAGTAGCAGGCAGCCGTAATGCTGAAATTCACTTCTTTCCCTTCAGATTCTGTACATGAATAGATGAACCACCTTTAACTGGAACACAGGGTCAGAAACCACACACAGCAGGGACAGTAGCTCAGCATCAGGAAAATGTGACAGACAGTTTCCTCCGGTGACAAGAGATGCCCAGTGCTAAATATTAAGTGGGAGTAGTGGAGTAATAAGGCTTCAGAAAAGAGGGAGAGGCTGTCCTTGGCCCTTTCACTCTGAACAGGGACAGGCAGGATGCTCTTTGTCAAGCATTTGTGTGAATTCTGCAAGGTAAAGTGTCTGTGATTCCTTGGGAAGGGAAAGCATAAGGTACTGCTGTCTTTACTTACCTACTGGACTGTCTCCTTGCAGTGTCAGTGAAGCACAAAGCAGTTTTCCCAAAGTAATTCTAATGAATTATATGTGTATATGCTGCTTGAATAAACACTGCTCCTAACGCAAACGTGTCTAGCATTAGTAAAATACAAAGCAGTGTCTAAAACTCTGAGATGGTAGGTTTGTTTTGTGAAACAAAAAAAACCTGCAGCTTTCTCAGAAAAAAAGGCAGTTTGCACTTTATTAACTTTTATAAATACAGTAGTCAAGTTTTAATTTGGACATGATTGATCTGCATGCCACATCATGGTCAGAGGTATCCACCGGCTCCTAAATTCTCATCTTTCCTTCTCCAGATGTCAAACAGATCCAGTGGGAAATAGAGCGGGACAAGTGGCTTCACAACAGGGATGTGAAAAGCATCATCAGAAAGAAGAAACAGTTCAGGCACAGAGGGCTGAAAAACAAGTTCAAAGGCAAGAAATCAAGACGATGAACTTGATGTGGACATTTAAAAAATAATGATTCTTAAATAGTTTTTTATTTAATCTTTCTTACTTCAGTTCTTGCTGCTTAACCATGTCATCTGGTCATTCTCCCTTATGCCATGAATTCCAGACCGCTCATTGGATTTGTAATAAACTGAAAAATAGGAAAATCCATGTCAGCCCTAAGTTAGACATATCTGATGAGCAGCCCCTTTGTGGCTGGTTTTATTCAGTGTATAACCCTCCAGCTCTGAGGTCTCTGTCCAACAGTCTGACATTCCAGCCATGCCTTAACAATAAAAACTTCTGCAGTCTCCTGGGGAAAGTTTTAAGCCATCCTAAGATATTGTTGTATATATTGAGATGCAGCAGAAGCTTCAGCCATCCTGATGCCAATGACTACAAACTCACCTTCCAGAATTGATGGAAACCTCTTCTGCATTGTGTATCTGAAATCTGACAAGAAAGATAAATCACAATTACTATTCCAGCATATATTAAGATGAATAATTAAAGGCACTATTTTTCTAACTAGAGTTGTTTCATCAAAATTTGTTTAAATTTTGCTAGTTACAGCCACCATTAAATAATGTGATAGGAATTTATTTTTAAAAAATAATTTCAGAGACTTTATTCAGGTTACTCATACATGCAGTCCCATCATTGCAGTGTTTTCTGAGCTTCCTCACAATTGTGATAATCAAGTCCTACAACTCACAGGAAGCTGCATGCCTCTCGTAGACTGACATGCAGATAAAACCAGGGAAATTTTGTTTCCTTGTGCAGATTTTTTGGTTTTTTGTTTCCTGAATCATTCCGCAGGCTGCTCTTGACAACCCAGTAGAAAATCACAACAGGTTTATGCTATTTTAATTATTTACAGCAGCTTGTAAAAGGATGTTACCCATTCTAGTACTAACACAAAAAACGCAGTAAAAGCCTCTGAGTTCACTGAGCTGTTAGATTAGCCCACTGCACTTTATGGAACTGCAATTATAGAGAATATGCAAATGCATATAAGAATTGCAAAAGAGGAGAAAAAATCCCAAAGATGAACGCCCAGCATCGAGTTACAATAGGCTGAAAACATCTGTTTTCCATATTTTTGTTACATGTATTTTCTAATCAAAATGCAAAGATGGCTGAAATTTAAGAGCCTGACACCATCTGGATCCTGGAAAACAAAAGCAAACTGATGCCAAGGTAAAGCTCAGCTTGCACTCGGCATGAAGACCACACCACTGCTGAAATGGGTGGATTTTTGCCCTCCCAGCCAAAGCAGCAGCTGCCTTTTGGCTCGCCCTGACCCTGCAGGCAGGACAGCTCCTTTCCCGAAGGGACACAGGTCTATCTAACCAGTGCTGCACCCTGCAGAGCCCTGCATGCAAAGTAAGGCTGCTGCTCTGCAGAGCAAGCCTCCTTGTAGTAACCAAACTGGGGCTTTGCTTATTGTGTCTTACCGGGGCACGGAATCCTGAGTCTAAGAGACTGAAGTTAAATAATCTGGGTGACAATGGGGGCTGCCTCCTGCCAGCCGGCTCTGTCCTCAGCCTGGGAAATGTCAAATTGTAAAGGCTACGAGACCCAGACACAGCCAGGTCATCCCTTCAGGGGCTCAACGCCAGGTGCCTGGAATAGGACTGATCAATTCCTGCCTCATTTGCGGGCAGCCTCTCTCCCTTTCAAATCCTCATCCGGCCCAGTGCTGCTACTATAACACCGGGCAGGATTCCTTTTTGTTCCGGGTGTGGTGGCGTGCTGCCGCCCGAAGGACTGGTTGCTCGCGGGCTTGCGTTTGTAAAGCTACACCAGCAGCTCGTTCTTCAGAGGTAAATCCTAGTGCCAGCGAGCCAGCCCTGTGCGCCTGCACTCACGCCAGCCCAACTCCTGACCCCACACGGCGGCATTTCCTTACACAGCCCGGGCGGTGCGCCGTGCTCCGCGGGCACCGCCAGCGGCCCCGCGCGGAGGAGCCTCCCCTGCCCGCCCCCCGTCCCCGTCGGGGCGCGGCCCCCGCCCGCCCCACCGCACCTTGGTTGCGGTCCATGGCGCGGTAGAGCAGGAGGGCGCCGAGCAGCCCCGCCGCCTCCAGCAGCAGCAGCCCCTTCAGGACGCGCCGCGCCATGGCCGGGGCTCGGCGCCTTCCGCCGCCCGCAGCGCTGCGCAGGCGCCGCCGCTCCGCCGCCTCACGGGCCCGTCATGGCCGCGGCCCCACTCGGGCCGCCCGGCGGCAAGCGGTGCAAAATGTGAGCTGTGTAAAAATCTTCGCAGGAAAGGGCGGGCTTTGTTCTATATCCGGCCTAATCAGCGAGAAAAGACATTAATCCGTGCGGCAGGTAGCGGGTAACAGGCGAGCGCTAAGTGATGGCCAGGTATTAGAAATACAAGTGACTTGTCGGTAGAATTGCCTTGTTAAGGTTTTGGGCGCCATGTGCTTCAGTAATCTCAGATGTAGGGAGAGTTTAATAAAGCCAGGCGAGAAGAATGGACTGCTGATAGTGGGCACAAAGACATCCAGCAGAACCCTCATGATTAGGAAGACACTGACAAAGCAAACTCAGCTTGACTGGGTAAAAGGTAATTTCTGGCAGGGGCAGATTGTGACCACCGACTCATGGCCACAGATCTGAGAAAACCACCCACCCACAAGAAGAGGAAGACAGCATGTTGACTGATGAGCATGAGAAGCGAGCCAATCATTATCTAACAGAAGATAGAAGACTAATTAATAAGGGAACTATGTCATTTGCAGCCAATGAACACTAATTCCTTAGTTTGCTAAATTGTATAAATAGTAAGAACTTCTGATGGTTGGTGTGCTTGGTTTGTGGAATACCTTGGAGCACTCGAGTTTGTGCAACTCTGAAATGAATAATCAGTGTGTCTCCCAAGTGTCAGAAAAATTAATAAATTATGCCAGAGGTTTATGTCCAAAAAGGAGACAGAGGAGCCCTGTAACTTCATTCAAATAAAGGCCATGGGCATTTCCCATGAGGTCTCTCAAATTGTTGAGGGATACAGCCCCGTTTTTTACCCTAACTTCCTGACTGCATCTCCCTCTTCCTTTTCCCCACTGGCTGAGGTACTTGAAAGGCACAGACTTCCTGAATCGCCTGCTCTATGCTCCTCTCCAGTATGCACCCCCCTTTCATTATATAAAAGAAAGAGAAATCTGTTCATAATTCTATTAATTCTTTGTTCTTTTTCTCTAGGATCAGGAATTTAACCTGGCCTTGGCTGAGCAAAGTCTGTGTTGGTAGTAACATCTTCTAGAACCAAGAGTTTCTTCTGTTGCTTCTATAAGTTTTTTCTGTTGCTGTCTATAAGTTCTTAGCCCCATCTACAAGCAGGTTCACATGGTCTATTTGTAAAGACACAGTCATCTTATTCCTTGCATTTTCATTGTCTTCTATTATTCATATTGCTATTAACTCATATTATGGGACTGACTTTATTGCCAAAATAAAAGCTCTTCAGATTTTCCTTAAGAGGGGCTTAATTTTCTTTGTAAGATGCTTTTCCCTCCCTCTGCTAGTGTTTTGTAAGATTAGATATAATATTTTTGCTGCTCATTCTTACAAGGTGATTAATTTTCCAGTTCTCTTTTCCCTGGTGGCTGAGTTTGCAAGTATTGCTTGTACTTAGAGGGATTTCTTAGTAAAGTAATTCCTGCTCTGAGGGTTTTAAATGAACAGGATCAACCCAAGCAGCAGAAGCTTGGGGTTGTTGGAGAAAACATGGATTAAATAAAGGAATTCACTGTGTTATCATTGTAGCAGTTGTGGCTCTAACCAGAGAGGGTTCTGGGTCAGGTTCTCATTTAGCATATAGAATTTGCATTGTTTGGCAAGTTCTGATGTGGAAAGAAACTGTAGTGTATTTAGGGGCTTAAAAAGTATGCCTGTAGTGTTTGGGGTGAATTTATAGCAGCTGTGAGACAGAGCCCTGAACTGTAAGAGGCCAAATAAAAAAGGAGCAGGCACAAAATGTAAAATATGCATTTTTGTTTTAAGGAGCCCACAATCCCTTTGGGTTTGGGTCCAGACTCCTGCTGGACCCTACACAGAGGTTGTTTATCATATCTTGGCGCTAGCTTTTATTTCTCAGAGAGTTTGGAAGAGTTCAGGTGCGGAGACATGATACGGGTTGTCTCTGACATTTAGTAACTCAGTAAACCTCTCCTGCTCAGGCCAAAGGATGAGTAACAGAAAAAAAGGGATCTCACACTGTTAAGATCGGGCAGTTTGTGGTAGCTCAGCAGGAGAATATTTTGCTAAAGACCACGGCCAGTTGTTCAGTAGGAAAGCAGGCACACAGCTCTCCATGGTGTGCTGAGGAATGCAGCACATTGTTAGCTAGTGGGCACTCTGTTGGGAAAGCCTTTATGCCAGGTGAAAAAAGGCAAGACTAGAGAAAAAAGAATGAAAAGGAAAGATTACCTGCCCCAGTCTGAAACTAGAAATTGCCGGGCTCCCTCTAGCCCCGTGATGTGACACTCGGACCCACCAAGCCATAGTGCCACCAGGCAGAAATAGAAGTGTCAGCTCCGCAGCTCCATTGTGGGGGGCGCTTCCCGACAAGGACACGGGGAGGGGGCTGTGGGTCAAGGGGAACACCCTGTGCCCTTGCCCTGTCCTGCCAGCAGTCGGCAGAGCAGCGTTTGGGCAAACGGGACTCACGGAAGCCGTGGGGAAGCTGGCTAGGCGGCACAGCTCCGCCGTAGAACCGGCCACAGGCTCATGCTGGAATGGGATGCAGCGTGGGGGAGCATGCAGCATGGGAGAGGCTTTACTGCAAGATGCCTTCCAGAGGGCCAGGGATGGGGAGGGACGCAGGTGTCTGGGGGAGCAGCTCTTCTAGCACTTGTTCTGGCACGTTCTTCACGGACACAGCTACAGGCACAGCTGGGGACATGCACTGGCAGTGACAGTGAACAGGTGACTCTGCTTTGCCCTTCACCCAGGGCCGCAGTGAGAGGCAGACACTTCCCTCAGCAGAATGAGTGGAGTTTCTTGCTAATTCCTTCCTTCTCCTGCCCAGAATCTTCTTATGTGTCTCTCTGTAAAAGGCAGAAAAGCTCTTGTCATTTTCACCACTGCCTATGTTATGAATATATTAAAAAATAGTAAATGCATTGTTCAATCAGTTTTGCCTCCAGAAGTGATTCAGGAAGGTCACAGTTACAAAGCTGTTGAGGATCTCATTAATGGAAAACATTACTTTGTTTATAAACATTTGAGTGCTTTGGTGTTGGCATTTGATGACTATTATACTGAATTAAGCTTTGTAATGAGAAGGCTCTGACATCTTATTTAAGCCTCAGACATGTTTTATTTTGTTCTCTGGGTTTCTTAGTGCAGGTATGAAATGGCTTGTCTAAATTATTTGATATTTACAACTGTCCAGAGAATACATGTAAGCACAGAACTAATTTTATTAAATGTGAAGATCCAGGTAAATATAATTTTAGTGAAAATAAATTTTCCATTTAAAATTGTTTTTTTCTCTCTCCTGCACTCCTGCACAGAAGTTATTAAAGTGAAGTCATGTAACAAGTAAGGCTATTTCTCCTAAAATAGGAAAGAAGATAATTTGGATGACTAATGACTTCTGATCTTTCACACAGGAAACTATCACAAATCATTGCTGCACCTGTGTAAAAAACATATTCTCTCTTCTGTTTCTGTTTAATTCTGAAAAGGATAAAATAGATGCCACTTCTAAGGATTTTGACAACACATCTTAATTATAATCACCTCCCCAAGTCTATTTTCAAGGACAAAGTTATAGTGGGTTTTTTATTTTTCCAAGAACAAGCCTCATCTCTCTGACAGTGTCAGTGTGCAAGACTAATTCTGGGGCCATATCCTTTTTTTGCACCCAAGCAGGGGGCCCTGAGGGAAAACAACTTGGAGACAGTGGGAGGCTCATGAAACTTGGGCTCTCTTAGCACCCCCTACAATTTACAGGAGCCTCAGGGGTGCTGGAGTTGACATAAGCAGAGACATAGATAGAGCTGTTGCAGTGCTCTGAAATTGCTGGAGTGTCAGGATTTCTTTTTTTATGCAACTCTTTTCTGTCACAGTCATGATGGGAATGAATGTGGCAGCAGTGTCTCTGGGACATTGGCTGTCCCCTTGCAAAGACTCATGATGTTGAAACTTGAGTGTTTCTGGTACTTGGTCACTGAGCAGTGGCAGATACTTAGCACTTCCAAGATGCACCATAGAGTAAACAAATAATTAGTTAAGGGATGGAGATTTTTTCCATGTATTATTGTAATTTTTTTCCTTTGTGAGGCAGGAAAAAATAAAATATATCTGGCAAAAATGTTTAATGTGTATAATGTGTTTTCAGCAATGTTTATGCTTCTCTGAGGATTACAGTCTCTTAAGGATTTCAAGAAAATTATTGAAAAATGGGAGATGATTGTAACAGCTGTGGTTTTATAAAGGAGATTTTCCTGACAGGAGGTTGACAAATGGTTCCTTAATATTTCCCAAGTAGTTATGGGATAGTATTCAATGACTATTACAGTCTCTCAGTTACATCTCTGTACAGTTGCTTCGTGACATAAACAAATCTTAGAAGTGGTGATAAGATCTTTATTATGATTATGTTATAATTTTGTTCTACATGCCTTTATTAATAAAATATTTTGTACTCCCACTATGGTATTGTTTGCAAAATGTTTGGTTATTCTCTCACTTTGGTTGCCAGGGTAGATGAGTGATCTAAAATTGTGGCCTCTTTCTCTCCTTCCACATAATAGTGTTGTTTTAAAACCCTTAAGATACAGCTGTTTCAGTTCTCCATTTCCATAACAATGTGTCCCCAGTTACAGCTCCAGGGATGAGTTCTTCTCAGGATTCATGATAGATCTGTATTTTTACAGATACTGATTGTATCTGAAAAAGCAACAGAAAAAATATTTTACAAACAACTGAATAGGGCCAGTGGGAAAACAGCTGTGCCATAGTTAATTTCCTGATGGCCATATGTCACAGTAAGGGAGCTGCTGAATGCCAGAAGGGGAGAATGTCCAAAAGATGCTTTGCTTCTGGGTATTTGTTCTTCCAGCAAAGGGTGAGGGAATTGCATGGCAGCTGGACAATGGCATTGGGTGAACATTCTGCCACTTAGTGTTGGAGGAAATGCTGCAGGTTCAAAGTGTGAATAAAATGGCAGTTTGTTTCTTTAGTGTTTCTCCACATTAGACCAAATACATCATTAGCAACCCATATTTTAGATGTCAGGCTTTGTCTGTTAAAAGATGTTTACAAGGACAGTATAGTCCTAGAAGGGAAGGACATGGTGAGATTAATGTTTATGTGTGCAAACTGTTTACCTACAGAGGAAGCTTCTGTCATTCTCCTGTACAGACAGTACCACGGAAAGGACAGGCTGTTCTTTTTGTCTGCATTGATGTAACTAACAGGCAACAGAAGGCAATTCTTCGGTTGTACAGAAAAAGCGCACCCAGTTAGAAAGAAAGATCACACCAATGTTTTTTTTTCTCTTTACAGTCAGCTGGGGATCCCGTTTTGATCCTGCAGTCATCTGGAACAAGCACATTGAAGATAAGAATATTATGGTCATAATATATGAAGACCTGAAAAGGGGTGCAGCAGATGCTCTTTACTGACAGCCAAAACACATCTGAGCCCATTCCTTGAAATCTGCTGAAATTAAGAGGAAATGGCGCAGGTTTCTGAAAAAGCAAAATCCAGTTGATTTTAGTGACAAGTTCAGTCTGGCTATACAGAAGCAAAGCTCCACAAAAGAGAAATGCAACACAGAAAACAGTGAATGAAATGAGTAGATCATGGCAATGCACATCCCAAGTGGGTGACTCCCTTTTTTAGAGGAAGCATATTGCACATCTCGCTTTCACTGTACTGCTTTCAGAACCTGAGTGCGAGTGTAAAGCAGATAGCTGCACTGTTTGGATTCTCACCAACAGCTGAGCAGATCCAGGCCATTGCAGGAAGGCACACTTTCCAGCTGGGCAGTGTTAAAGCTCAGGAGACTCATGGTGCTGTTGGCTCGATTCTTTTCCATGAAGGTTAATCTGTTTGTATTTTGCCAGAATGGTGAATGGTAGCTCTTTGTCTTTGGAGACAGGAATTTGGATCAATAGGTGGTTAATATTTATGTGTAATTTTCAAGGCTGGGTGTTGTTTAGGAAACACCAGTTGTGCTTCAGGAATCTCGATTGATTTCACCCCAAGGACCAGTACCATACCTCTGTACTAAGCACCAACTAAAACAAAGAAGAGTTTTATTTATCTTGGCTTCTGTGACTACTGGGGATGGCCAGTAGATTGAATGCCTCCACAGATCTTGGGTTTTCTAAATAACCCTTGGGATTGCCTATGGACTACAGTCAACTCAGAATCCAGATGCTCCACAGATTGATCTGTGGTTTTTAGCCATGGATCAGGCTAGAACCTCAGACAATCCCTAATTGTGAGCTCTCCAAAGTCTAGATGAAAGGTAGACTGCAACTTAGAGCAGTGTCTGATTGCAACAAACAAAGCTGTTGCAGTTAAAAGCCACACAGTTCAAAAGGCTTTGGTCAAGGATGGTGCTGAAGCAGGAACACTACTTCCTGTTAAAAACAGATTGTCTGAATTACTAATAGATCAGTAACAGCCAGCCTGTGCACTTTAAGTTCAGTGAACTATTCCAAAACAGGTCAAGAGGAAATCCTGTCTCAAGATGCTAAATAGGCTGCTCTTAAGCATGTTCTGAAAAATAGACCAGCAATGTTATTTAGAACGAGGCTGTTTAGCTATCTGAGGGAATATTTTATAGATGATCTTGTGAAATTTCTTTTGTCTCATCTGCACATTCTTCCCAGGGCATAGTCACATACTCAGTCTTTGCCAGCTAGTGATGGGCATTAAAGAATGAATATAAGAATCATGAGTGTGAGGGTCAGCTGATTTGTTTTCTGCAGCTCTCTGTGTGTTACAGGTTTGATTCTGTTGAAAATTATGTGCTGGGGTACCAGGGAAGAAAGCTGGACCTAATGTCACTGGAGAAAGGAAGAATTTGTACCTTCCTCAAGCACTTTAGCACATTGAAGATCAAAAAGAACTGTGAGGTGCTTTGAGATGGTGGCATTATCCACCAGGTCAAATCCAGTAGCTCACAAAGATTGCAGCTATTGAAAACAGCTAAACCAAACAAGCAATAAAGTTCCTCATTGTAGAAACTCACCATATATTCTTTCCATTATAAATGCAAGAAGCAATTTGTATATGTATTTTCCATTTATATACATTATGCTCTCTATATATTTTAGCTTTTATGTTTTTTTTTTTTATTATGGAACTCAGCAGTAAAGCTTTGAATGGTATTTTTGACACACAACATTTAAGGAATAGGGTGGATCATTCACCTTCTGAATAAGAGGATATTTTCCATTCTTTGACCACAGTTTTGGTATCACCTTCTTGCTGTATTTGTAATCTGCTTCACACTTACCATTTTCCATCAGTTGTAGATATTTATGGTGTCTACATTTATGGTAACTGGTAAATGCTGTTCTATTAGTATTTCTGTCACCTCAGTTTTCCTCACGAGCTATTCAGTAATGATCATCATGCAGGAAAGTATATCTAAATGGTATTGAAAAAGAAATTGGAGGTCTTCTCTTGGAAAAGAAAATAATAAATGTATCTTTTCTGTGCAGAAGATAGTTCCCTTGTGTGTGTTCAGAGTGTCAATAACTCACCCAAGAAGGAGAAGAATTCTGGTATTGAATTATAATAAAAGTAAAATGGGATTAAAGCAGACAGAGCTGAGCTCAATTTTCTCATTTGTAAAATGTGAGCATTTCGTATTGCAGCTTTATGCAGTACATAAATTGGAAAGATAATTAATGTTGAATTACAGTAGAAGTGCTGTAAAAGCACAGGGCACATATGACATCTACAGCAACATCAAATAATTATTTCTGAGGCTAGGCTGTTATAAAGTGTGCCAAATGGATTTATAATGAAAAGGGACGAACTATAACAATCACAATAATTTTATGACATCAGATGCCTGGACTTATATTCTAATGTGTTGGTTTTTAGTTGTTGGTTGTTGTTGTTGAAGTCCAAACATTGATTTGAATTTTGGCTAAAGGACTTTTGGTGGGGATTAGGACCTTCTGTTTTATTGTAACACCTTGCAGAGCTTGGAACTTTGACACTGTGTCACAATGAGAGTGGTTAGTGATTGCTACAGATGTTAATATTGTCAGGATTGATGCAGAGGAGAGAAAGAAAGAACAGCATCATTCTGAATGAGAGCACACTGTATCAGTGCTGTGTCTGAACTCATTGCTAGAGCACTCTGTAAAATGTCATTTGTATCCAGGTATTTATGGTCTGTACAATTGTCCTGTATTGCTATGGCACTTTGCAATGCATGTCAAATGGCTATATGAAGTATTAGCCAATAAAATATTTAGTTTGTATCTGAACTAAATGTTTTTAATATGATTTTTTGGCTTCTGCAAAAAAAATTTATGGGCTTGAGGAAGACAGAAAATTAGTCTTTGACTTTGCTCAAAATGTGAGGCAGTCAGGAACAGTCACGAAATGAGAGGGGGCTGGGAAGCTGGTATCTTGGGAGTCTTGTGTACTTGTGAATAATTTAAGTTTATTGACATATGCTTGTGGGGTCTCTAGTGAGTTCCCTGCTGTTTTATATTTTACAAGCCAGCAAAGCCATTTTCATTGCTAGAATATTCATTAGCATTGCCCCAGCAGGAAAATAACTCATAGTTGCATTATTGTGTATTTCTGAAATATCCATAGGCAATGTATTTATATTCAGGGGAAAAAAGGAAATACTAATCTTAGGCATTAGGCATACATCCCAATAAATGTTAAAAAAACCCCCCAAAACAGCAAGCAACCAAAAATAGAACACTTATAATCTTCTTTGTCATTTATTTCTCACAGACAGCTCTTGGAACAACTTCTGCAGATGTGGTGAGACCTCGTGGAGGCTGGGTTTCCGTGCACCTCCATCCCTGCAGCACCAGGTGGGCGCTGTCATGCCAGGTGTGAACCCAGGGCCCTCGCCACGCTGAGAGGGGACTGCAGTGGGAAACCCCCTCTCCCCTTGCCTTGGGAGCAGTGGGAAAACTCCATGGCTGCCGCAGCCCACTGCCTTGGGGCTCTCCTGCTGCAGGAGCTTTCTCTCTTGGGCTGTCTGGTGCTACATGCCTGGCTTTTAAAGGCGAGAGAAGTTGTTCTCCATGTTGGAAAGATGCAGCTTAGCTCTTGGAGCTGGGGCAAGCACAGCTGGGAGTCTGTTCCCCTCCTGGTGACCGAGGGTGCCAGCCTGCCTGGGGTGAGCAATGCTCTCTTGGTGGTGAAATCTCAATAGGTTCCCCATTCTGTCTGAATCCCAGACTCCTAAGGGTTTTTCTAGCAGTAAAGCCTGACTGTGTTCTTACCAGAGAGAGGAAAAACATAGCGTGGGGGCATGTGGGAGAACAGGACCACATAAAAACAAGAGGGCTCAGAGGGAGATGGGCTTTGAAGACTGTATGTGTTTGCTGAGTGTGTTCCCCATATGGCTGGAGATCGTAATTTGGAGCAGAAAGCCTCAGGAAAGCCACCTGCACAGTGGTGCCAGTGGGAGGTGTCTGTGCCCTCCAGAGTCTCAGCAGAGCAGCAAATGTGTCAGAGTGCTGGGGCTTGCTCAGGTCCTTGTTGTACACAAAGCACAGTATTCATGGTCAGCAGTAAACAGAGCTGTAAACAATCTTCTGTTCTTATCAAGTCCAAATGTCTCTGTGGCACTTAATTGCTTTTGCAGGCCAGTTTATGCCTCTCCAGCCCCCGTGCCTTGACTTGCCATTTTAACTCAGCAATCTGAAGCACCAGAGACAGACAGTGTATTTTATACATGGGTGAGTTCATAGTTTCTGGCCCTCCAGGTCTCTCTTGCCTCTGTTGCCTTTTTCATTGTCCATGTTTTGAATGGTTTATGATTTGAGGGCCATACAAGTGCTTTGTCCACAAATGAACTGTTTTCTGGAAGCCCAAGGACACAGAAAGAGAAGAAAAATGCATGAATATAGAAAGAAGACTATGTAATGAGTAGAATAAGTATCATTATTAAATGTTGTAGATATAAATGTTTGCTGACATGGCAGACCCTCCAGAAAAATGATAACAGAATTAGCCTGAGTTTGCTTCATAAGGAAAACTGTTCCAATCCAGCATGAAATCATTGAGGATTGGAGGAAAAGACAATCTATAGCTGAGGTACAGCTGTCGGAAGGTGTGGAGGCTTCCAGGGCTGAATCCGGCTTGCTCCCTGTGTACCCCACTTATGGCAGCATATCCCTCCTCTGGCAGGTCCCTCTGCACCCCACAGCTGCCCTGCTGTCCCCAAGGCAGTGCCAGGCACAGTGTCTCGGGCACAGGAGCTGCTGGGATGCTACAGCAGTTTTACGGTGAGCTCAAAGAGACAAAAGGAGCTTGAAAAGAAACACACTGAATGTTTGCTCTGTGGTTTGCACATGGACATGGGCAGAGAGGAGTCCAGCTCCATTCTGGGAGTCGTGGTTACTGCAGTTCTGAGGGCCCACATCAGCAAGGGCCAGCCTCTCTGAACAACACTGGTGCTCAGCAGTGTGACCCAGAGGAAAGCAGAGTCCCACAGCATGGATGCAATCAGTGTGAGTAATCCAACAATTTGCCCACTCTAAGCCAATTTGTGAAATGTCAGTGTCAGCTGAGGTGAGCAGGGTGAGTAAATGCATGGCCCATGGAGCTGCTCATGGGTGTGCATGGGAGAGTGGCTGCAATATTGATGCACTGGAAGAGTGGAACAGTGAATGAATTTGTTTGGGGATGGTGTGGAAAATGGCACTTGTTATTTGCATGTTAATATTGATACCTGCACTCACTAATCTTTTTAATGCCAAACTGAGTGCAATTTTATTATGTTCTGGGGTGATTAAATATAAATTACCTTCTTTTAGAAATAGTTGTTTAGAATTAAATACAATGTTATATTGCTGGGGTTCATGGACTTCTGCTAACTTACAT